TTTATAGAACTGTCATTGTCAGTGGGTTAGCTGACCATTGTCTTGTAAACTTCTCACTGGGCCAAAGAGTTTGACAACAGCCGCTGTGGTTCTAGCAATATCAGTAGCAATGCATTCATGCACTGTCACGCGGTGCTAAGGGAGAGGGAGAGAGATGACTAGCAACTATTTTATTGATAGCTGGAAGCGCTGCAAGTACGCAACGAGCCGTCTTTCCACAGAGGCTCTTGATGGTGACAGTTTTATTGAGAAATATATAATGTACATATCTAACTCTGGTTTCTAAAGTAACTCTTCCACAAAGCGCTGCTCCCTCGCTCTCTCTCTAGCTGCTGAACTAATCCCAAATCTGTCGCGTTCACTCTTCCAAACAGGATTACTGTCAATCTCCAACTCTACTGGAGAAGAAAACCAACTTTCTCGTTTTCTTTTTACTTTTCCTGTCACACTCAATCACTTTCATTGACATCTGAGAAATCTAACTCGGTACGGTGTTTGGCAGCGGGTTGCCTATAACATTACCTCCGTTAGCTCGACGCAGACATACAATCGCTCTCACAAAAAGGTCATAAAGCCCAGAGCTATGTTGTTAAATCTCATAATGTTGTACTCGTAAATCAGCGTGCAAAAACAGCTGGGCCGGTCATGCACATGCAGGAATAAAGAACGGGAAGGGAAGCATGCAGAGCGCAACGGCAGTGATGTCTACGAATACAGAGGTGCAGTAGGAAATTGCTCAATGCCTCGAAATGATTCCAGAAAAAGAAAACAAAAAAGCTGGGCCACAAATACAAAAATTTAAAAATGAGTAATAGATTATGAGTTTTCCACCTATCGCTGCAGGTACCCTTGGCAGGCATGTTTGGGTGAGTCTGTACACAATCCATCTGTCGTCCCGGCATATCACCACATCACTTGGTGCACTTAAATTTTTGTTCTGAAGATGGGATTGAGTTTAAGAACAACAACACGAGGACATGGTGGCAGAGGTGAGAAATCAAGCTAAAGAAACTGAATGCTAAAGCATCTTATCGGCTTTCGCTGGAAGGTTGGGTTTTTGCAAGAAACAAATGATTTTCTCCCGAGGACTCTCACTGCATGGACTGTAAAAATCGGTACTGACCAATACTACAGAT